TGTAGCCCTGCGGGTCTCGCTCTCTCTTTTCCCGTCTCCCTTTCTCTCTGCCTCTTCAGCTCCGAGCCTCTGCTTGTCTCTCCGTCTCTGGGGTCTCTCGACCTCCCTGTTTCACTCTCTGACTCTTTATCCTTTTCCTGCGGGACCCCTCCGCACCCCCGCCCGGCCGTTGGGGCAGCCCTGGGCCCGCGTTTGTTTTGCTTTCGCACCCAGGCCCGTGAGAGGGGTGAGAAGTGGAGGCAGATGTCGGGGGTGGGGCTGGGAGATCCCTCGCAGGAGCCTCTCCTTCCTTCCCCCCTGCCTCGGGCTCTGCCTGGCCTGGCTCTGCCCTGCCCTGCCCGGTCTCCGAGTCCAGGGGACATGCCTGGCTGTGTACTCAGCTGCATTTCGAATCATTAGGCCTGCCTCCCTAGCTGTGAAATGGGACAACTTTTCTCCCTGCTGTGGGCTCTGGCTTACCCTCTGCCAGCCACATGGGCCGGCCGACTTGCCACTTTGCACCAGGGCAGAGTGGGGGTGGAGGGCTGTTCCCTTCTCTCCCTGGGTGGGACAGGAGGGGCCATGTGAAAGGCCCCCTGCTCCCTCCGGCACTGATGTGTGTTGGGTCGAGGCCCCAGCCTGCCACTGCTGACTCCTCTTGGTTTTGTCCTCAATTTTACCGCAGAGCCTCTGAGCACTGTTGTCTCCAAAATACAGATAAGAACATTGAGGCTCCGAGAGGGGTGACGACTTACCCCGTGTCATGGAGCTGCGGGGCTGGATGTTAGCTTAGAGGAGCAGGGATTTTTGGAGCGGCTGCTGTGATCCCGAGCTGATCTCATGCAGGCGTCCTGGTCTGCTGTGAGGGGACTCTTGTCTGGGAGGAAGCTCTGGGGGCAACTGGACCTGGAGTGGCCAAGGCACTGGGACATCTCTCATGACAGCATTTCCTTGCCAAGGTCCGAGGTGGTTGGTGGGAGGTTGCCAGGACTCTCAGACTTGGTGGTTGAGAACCTGTCAGGGTCCTGGGAAGGGTCCAGAAGAGAAGCTGGTACTCAGGCCCCCAGATGGTGCCTTTTCCTGTGCTGGGGTGACTATGAGGGTGAGCCCCTGTGAGGTGAGAGAATAGGTGGGGACAGGCCCAGAGCTGAATGTCACTTCTTTGGCTAGTAGATTGGGGTGTAGGGGACTGCAGACAGATGGACGTGAAGCTCAGTGCACTCTGGCTGGCCCTGGGGTGGCGGGGAGCGAAGGCTGTCCACGGAGGAGGCGGAGGCCCTATTCTGAGTGGGCAATGGTGGGAATGAGGTGATCTTGGGGAACGGCTTGGTCACCAAAGGCAGTGTGGTAGGGGTTCCTTTGGGAATAAGCCCCTTATTCCTGAGTTTGGAATAAGCCCCTGATTCCCGGAATAAGCCCCTGATTCCCGGAATAAACCCCTGATTCCCAAGTTTGGGGGAAGTAAGGCAGGTGAGGAAAGAGCATGGACTTTGGACTCTGAGTCTTGGGTTCAAATCCCAGCCCAGCCCACAGTTGGCTGTGGAATGTGCCCTCTATGTTAATTTAACTAATAGTGATTCCCACCGTGTATGAGATCTCTTAGGCCTCAGCAGATCTCTTAGGACACAGCACCAAAAGGGGCAAATATCTCTTCTCTCAGGGAGCTGATGTCCTAGAGGGGGGAGATTGGAAAAGCCAAAACAAAAAAGTAAGATACGTAGTAGTTGGGATGGCGGCTGGTGCTGTGGATCAAATAAAGCAGGGTGAGGGTATGGAGGGTGTGGCCAAGGAGGGCTTTGAGGAGGTGACTCTGGTGCCATGGGACGTGCTGGGTAAAGTGATTTCCAGGCCGAGGGACAGTACATGTAAAGGTGCCAAGGCAGGAGCCTGCCTGGTGAATTGAAGGAGAGAAGAAGGCCATTGGCCCTGGAGTTGATTAAGCCGGGGAAGTGTGGGAGACAAGGACATGGCCTCACCCTGGGTGGGCTGGGAGCCCCAGGAGGATCCTGAGCAGAGGAGGGATGGGGGTCTGGCTGTTGTTTTCACAGCAGCCAGAAAACATGGATCCCGTTGGCCTCTGTGGGGAACAGACTAGAGCATGCTGGGGGCTGTAGGATATGAGAAGGAGTGGCATCGGTGTGTGTTGAAGTTGGCTGACGGGGCTCAGAAATGGGTTGGATGTGGGGTGTGAGGAAGGCGGATGCTAGACAGAGGGCCTGGCCTCCTTTCCTCGTCTATAAAGTGGGGGACCTGGTGGAGCCCACTGCAAGACTGTGGGGCTCTGTGATGCAGTTGTCGTATGTGGCTGTAGCTAGGGACAACTGGCTAGACAAGGTCAAGTCTGGCAGCATTGGTAAGAGAGGGAAGCCCCCCAACTCCCCAAATGGCCAACTCTGTCCTCAGGTGGGCTCACTGTCCCCAGGGCCCAGATGGAAAACTGAGGCTTGGAGAGTACTATGTCTAGCCCAAGACAAACAGCCTGGCTGTGGTTGAGCCAGTTGCCCAGAGGGCTCAGTCCCTGTCTGGATAGGCTGAGGCAGGGAGGAAGGCTGAAGCGACAGGTTGGGGACTCAGCTTCTTACAAATGTGTGCCTCCCTGAGGTACTGGATCTGGAGATGCCAGTGGCTCACACTGTTGTCCCACACTGGTGTTCAGATGGGCTGTAGCCCAGGGTGCAGGCTCCCCAGGGCAGGCATAGCTGGGCCAAACACAAGCGTGAGCAAAGGCCACACTCATGAGGAAGGGGTCCCACTGCCTGGAACTGGCTCCACAGGAGCATAGGAGTAGATGGGGAGGTGTTTCATTGACACCCCCATGCACCAGCCTCCTTAACCTTGTTTCCACTACAAAGTTTGGGGATCCTGTTGCCAGGTGAGGAGGTGGATGATGCCTTCAGGGCTGGGCAAGAAGCTGTTTGTCTCTGGGGGGATGTCAAGGCCTCGACCTGGCTGATCCTGGCTTTTGTACCTTGACCTCTGACCTCCATGTGGGGCCTGTGCTTGGGGAACACCATGGACTTCACATGGGACTCCTCCCCTAAACTTTTGGCTGTGTCTTTGAGAATAGATTGCAGAGCCCTCCAGGGGGCAGGCAGGGTCCTTGGTGCCTACACCTGTGTGAGCCTGTTCTTCCTGTTTGTTGCTGGAGCCTGTGTGTAGTGGCATTGAGGGGCATAGGGGCATAGGGGCTTGGCTTGCCCCCCTGTGAGCCATGCACACAGTGGAGTCATGGTGGAGCCCAGGGCCTCAGCCACCTCCCCACCAACTGGAGGCATGATCACCCATTTCACAGTTAGGGAGACTGAGGTACAAAGAGCAGGCACACCTGGCTTCTGCCCCCAGTGTGTCAGCAGGACAGCCTGGATGCTTTATTGGGGAGGGCCTCAGCAGCTGACCCAGCAGCCTTCCCCTCCGTGCAGACTGTGGAACATGGCTTCCCCAACCAGCCCAGTGCCCTGGCCTTCGACCCTGAGCTTCGCATCATGGCCATCGGCACCAGATCTGGTGCTGTCAAGATGTATCCTTTGCAGCCGTGGTGTTCAGGGCTTATCTGAGGCCACCTGCTTGCAGCCTCCTGTGGGCTGGGGTCCCAGCCTTGGCAGGGCCAGCTCAGGAGTAAGGATGGAGGTGATCTGATAGAGGCAGCAGCAGTAGTCCTGGGGAGGCTCTTGGTGGAGGTTGGCATGGCTTCTGCCCCTGGGGCAACTCCTCACAGAGATGATGGGGTCCTTTCACTGGGATACAGGGAGGGGGGGCGATTTGCAGTAGCCACAGCTGTCTCTCGCTGTATCTTAGCCGGCCAGTTACCTAGGCGACCCATCGTCCCAGCAGCTGTGACTGGGGAGGCTGGGCCGGGGGCGGGCGTAGTACCCATGGAGGGTGGCAGATAGACTGGGGGCCCTGGTGAGCCGGTGCACACACGTGTGCGTGTGTGAAGACATGTGTGCTCAGCCAAGGGGGCTGGGGGCTGTGCCAGGCTCGGCATGGTGAGCACAGTACGGCCCCCACCTGGATCCTGGCTGCCACACAATGGGCTGTGTGAGCTGCACAAAGCGGGCATTTTCCCTGCAGGCACAGGGTGGGGGTGGGGGCAGGCAGCTGATGCTTCCTTGCCTGCCCTAGAGAACCCACCTCACTGCTCCTGGGGAAACCAAGGTGCAGGGTCTGGCTGGTGACTTGCTGAGGTGCCCACCTCTACCCCTCCCTGTGTGGCCTTCTGGGTCTCGGTGCCCTGGTCTTGGACTTTGCTTGGCAGAAGATGAGTCAGTGCTGGCAGAGGGGAGGGCAGCGGCTGGGAGTTCTCCTCACCCTAGGCTGGGGGGCACTGGCCAGACAGGGACTTCTTGCCTACTCTGGGGAGTGGCTGGGCCAGGATGTCCTCTCCTCTCCCATGGTCCCTGAGGCACTGGCGGAGGCAGGGCAGGAGTGTGGCAGTGCCCTGGTCCCCGACCTGCCCCGCTTCCTGGCCCCTCGTGAGCACTGTGCTGCCTCTGCTTGCGTGTCCCTGCTGCCTCTGTCTCCCAACACCAGACCCCAGTCTTTGCTGTGAGGTGCGCTGAGCTGTCCCTTCTATGTCGGGATCTCTTGTGTGCTCACCCCTTGGGCTCAGAAAGATCCTGAAGTATAGATGAGAAGTGAGTCTCAGAGAGGAGGCCAGAGCCGAGGCCCCCCTTGGCTCCACTCCTTCCCCCACACTACTACAGCTTGGAGCCCTTGGGGTCGGGAAACTGAGGCTGGAGAGTCCTGGTCACTAGAAGCTGCCCCTCCCCCTTGAAGGCCGGCCCCATCTCCTTGACAACCCTGGTTCCCGCCCAGCTACTCCTGCCCCCTCTTTTGTCCCTTCTTCTGAGTTCCCTGCCAGGCTCCTGCAGGGAATCCCAGCTCAAGCTCCAGGCAACGGCCCCTATGTGGTCACCGGGGCAACGTTGCTGACTCCTCCCTAAACCTTCCCTTCTGGGGCCCCCTCAGGCCCTGCTGTCCACTGCCAGCCCTGGAATTGCTGGGACTCTGGCACTGACACTGGGTACTTCAAGCAGGTCACCTGGACTCTCCAAGTCTCTGTGTGCTCATCTGTGAAATGGACAGACTTGGGGCTCTCCTCTCTCATAGTGGGGCTGTTGGCTACCTGCTTTGGCAAAGGTGGGTTTTCTTGCCTACAGCTGGAATTTGACCTGAAGCTGCAAGAAGAGGCAGCCTAGACTCTCCTCTGCCCTTGAGCTTCCTTGTCCCGGCCTGCCCTTGCGTCTCTGGTCTGCCCGATCCCAACCTGCTAGGCCCTGCTCTCAGAGCCCACATGGACACACACATGAGACTGAAGTAGAGCTGAGCCCCAGTGTGCCGAAGGCCAGGGCCAAACATGCTAGGTGTGTTTTATTCTCACTTGAACTGTGCATACTATGAGGTGAGAGTCACCAGCCCATTTTACAGATAAGTTCCTACAGCAGCTCCCAACTTGCAGGAGTGAACGGAACCTGCACTCAGAGCTGGAGGGGTGCACGATGGGAGCCTCTTCAGGAAGGGGGGCCCACTGGATCTTGGAAGACTCCTGAATGGCCAGGCCTGGACCGAGATCCACTGGAATAGTCATGGGGACGGAGGAGGCTTGGGTGTGTCTTTGCCATGGTTTCCTGGTCTGTGCTTGCTTGTTTCTGCCCTTAACTTGTCACCCTCAGTTATGGTGCACCTGGTGTGGAGTTCACAGGCTTGCACCGTGATGCAGCCACTGTCACACAGATGCACTTCTTGCCGGGCCAGGTGAGCCTCTGTCTCCCACTCATCAACTCCCTGTGGCCCCCATAGCTGCTCACCCCCCCAGACCAGCCCAGCTTTGGTCTCTGCTCACCTACCAGGGCCGCCTCCTGACCCTGCTGGACGACAGCAGCCTGCATCTCTGGGAGATTGTCCACCATAATGGCTGCGCCCACTTGGAAGAAGCACTCAGTTTCCAGCCGCCCTGCCGGCCTGGCTTTGACAGTGCCAGGTACTGGAGGACTTAGCTGTGCCAGCCGCCGAGCAGAGGGGATCCTGAGGGAGGCTGTGGGAGCTGGCCACACAAAGGCATGGTGGGAACCAGGCCTGGGTCTCAGTCTGCAGTGGTTGAACCCTGCTTGACAGGTGTTCTCCGAGAACTTTTCAGGTTAAATGGGAGGTTTGGGCTGAGTCCGAGGCATGCACCGCAGAGACGTGTGAGCGTGAGCAGCTGGAGATACATGTGTTATATGCCAGACTCCTCAGATCTGAGGCCTGGCGCTGCACTCTGCAAAGATGGGTGTGTTTGGGGATTGGGGACAGGGCCTGAGCTGAGTTGAATCAGCAAGGGTTCCCTGGCCCCTTGAATTGGGAGTGGGAGACAGACCATAGTGTGTGTAGACAGAAGGGCAAGTTTGGGGGCAGGGAGGATTCTGGGGGCTGTGGTTGGTGAGGGGCTGGCAGTAGCCCTCGGGTACAGCCAAGTGGGCCTGGACCTGTGGGTGAGTGTAGGGGCCTCTCCCTCTCAGCCCTGTCTGAAATGGCTGGAAAGAGGGTCCTAGCCCAGGGTTGAATTCCTGGGACTTCCCAGCCTCTGCAGACAGAGGTGATCTGGGGCCCTCCTGGGGCCCTAGTCAGGAGATGTCTAGAAACTGGTGGCGGGATTCCTGGATGGGGCTCAGGGAGGTCCCTGTCTGTTCTGGGGCTCCTGGTCCTAGCTTGGGCGATGCCCGGTTCCTGTCTTCTCCTCCTGGTAGGTGGGAGGGGCCTGGAGCTCTGACTCCAAGACCTGGGGAACCTATTTTTATTCCTCTCCCTGCTGACATCCTGATGAATAATTGATGAGGCTAATTACTACACACGTCCCCTTCCTGGGGCAGCTCTTTAAGTAGGCCCTGGCTGCATAGTGGGGCCTGTGAGGAACTGATGGTGGTGGCATAGTCCCCTCTGCACCCCTCCTCAGCAGGCTCATGGGCTTACACCCTCACCTCATTCCCTCCTTCCCTGTAGTGCCCTGCCCAGCCTCACTCGTGTCACAGTGGTCCTGTTGGTGGCTGCTGGTGACACTGCAGCCCTGGGCACTGAGGGTGGCAGCGTCTTCTTCCTGGATGTGACTACCCTGACGCTGCTTGAGGGGCAGACCCTCAGCCCAGATGAGGTTCTGCGCAGGTAAGAGGCAGGTGGGCTTTCTAGTACCTGCTCTGCGCCCGGGAAGCTCTGCTGGCTCACCTGCTTTCCCTCTGCAGTGTGCCTGACGACTACCGGTGTGGGAAGGCCCTGGGCCCTGTGGAGTCACTCCAGGGCCACCTGCAGGACCCCAACAAGATTCTCATTGGCTACAGCCGGGGCCTGCTGGTCATCTGGAACCAGGCCACACAGTGTGTGGACTGTGCCTTCCTGGGAAACCAGGTATGTGGGTGAAGCCTGTACCCCCTCAGCCTGGGCACCTTGCACACCCCTGCTGTGGTTCATGTCCACCTGTCCCTGCCTGCCCGCAGCAGCTGGAAAGCCTGTGCTGGGGGCGCGATGGCAGCACCATCGTCAGCTCACACAGTGATGGCAGCTACGCAGTCTGGTCCACAAACGCCAGCGGCTCCCCGACACTGCAGCCCACAGTAGCCACCACACCCTACGGTGAGTGCTGGGGGACTGAGCCAGAGAGTGAGGGAGGGCCGCCTCGCCTTGTTGGCGGGGTCCTGCTGATCCCAGCCTAATTCGAATAGTGGTGACTCCCCTGGAGGGCGTGGCTGGGCTAGCAGGCCTCTTCCAAACCAGGAGGGGCAGGAGGCACCTTGAAGGTAGAGAGTCATGGAGGGCAGAGAGGGAATGGGAGATGCAGTGAGAACTGCCAGTGAGTCTTGTCTGTCACTCTCCCACCCTCAGGCCCCTTTCCCTGCAAGGCCATCAACAAGATTTTGTGGCGGAACTGTGAATCTGGGTAGGCTGAGGGAACCTTGTCTGGTGTGGGTTGGGTCTGGCCTGGGGTCTGGAAGGCTGGGCTCTCCCTGGGTCATGCAGTGTGTCTCTTGGCTCACATGTGCTCCTCCCCATGCAGGGGCCACTTTATCATCTTTAGTGGTGGCATGCCCCGTGCCAGCTATGGCGACCGCCACTGTGTGAGTGTGCTGCGAGCTGAGACACTGGTGACGCTGGACTTCACCTCCCGCATCATCGACTTCTTCACAGTGCACAGCACACGGCCTGAGGATGGTACGTGATCTGCCCCAGCCCCACCCGGTTCCATGTGTCACCTGCAGCCATGCTCACCCCATCCCCTCGTCCCACAGAGTTCGATGACCCCCAGGCCCTGGCCGTACTGCTTGAGGAGGAGCTGGTGGTGCTGGACCTGCAGACTCCTGGCTGGCCGGCTGTGCCTGCCCCATACCTGGCCCCGTTGCACTCTTCTGCTATCACCTGCTCGGCCCACGTGGCCAGCGTCCCTGCCAAGCTGTGGGCCCGTATCGTCAGCGCTGGCGAGCAGCAGAATCCCCAGCCTGCCTCCAGCGCCTCAGTGAGTGTTGGGATGGGCGGGGGGCACCTGGGAAGGGAGAGTATTCCAGGAGGGTCCTGCTTGGGTCCAGGTCTGGAGGCTGAAATGTGCCGTGCCTGGGATGAGAGGGAGAACACGTCTGTCCTGACTATGTACTTTTCTGCCACCCTCTCTCAGAGCTGGCCCATCACTGGGGGTCGGAACCTGGCCCAGGAACCGTCACAGCGAGGGCTGTTGCTGACTGGGTATGTGTGGGTATAGATGTATGGAGTGAGACTCTGCACCTGCCAATCTGGTGTACCTCTTGCTGGTGTGGGAGAGCCCATTCTGGGCCTGTTGGACACAGAAGTGCCAGGCGCCTCAGGCATGGCCCTGGCAAGACTGGGTTGTTCCCCTCACCCAGGGGTGGATTGGGATGAAACATCCCTAGATATCCTGGTCTGAGGCCCCACCCTGCTCTGCCTCTTGGCCTGAAACTGAGCGCTAGTAAACCTGGGGCTCCACCCACCCAGCCTGCCTGCCCTGGGACTGGAAAATCTGGGCTGGCCCACGCTGAGCTGCCCAGGGCAGGTGCTGGAGAGCCCGACGTGGGCCTGGCGGGCACTGACGTGCCCGGTGACTCAGGCCCCGGCTTCCTGCCCCGCTCCTCCCTCCTGCCTGTGCTGGGACCCTCAGGCCTCTGACTCCAGTGAGCACGCCCCTGCTTAAGAGCTTGCTGTGACTTTCAGGGCTGCCGGAGTGAGTCGCAGCCCCATAGACTCATGCATCTCTCATACCCTGGCTCGGGCTCCTGCCACCACCCAGGGCCCCGCTTGGGCCGTGCCGCTGTGTCCCAAGGCTGTGCCCTAGGTTTGTCTGCCTCTCCCCCTCCCCCACCCCCTGCTTCCCCTGGGCCTCTGCGGTCTTCCTGCTGCTCTGCCTGCGTGGTCACCTCGGCTGCAGCGGACTCCTCCTGGGACGCCCTGCTCTCTGCTCTGTGACTGCCCAGCTCCTTATCACCCTTGCCGGGTACCCCAGTGGGGGCATAGCCGCCCAAGTCCCCTCTTCTCTGCGTTTCCTCCTCTACCAGCTTCTGTTCATCAGGATGGTCATTTCCTGACCTTCACACCCTTGCTGAAGGGTTCGGGTGCATGTGGTGCCTGTGGCCTGGCATACAGTAGTTGTGCAGTATGTGTTTGTTTTATACAGTGGGTGTCTACTATTTGCTGTATACAGTAGAATTCCAGTCAGTGTTTGGCATACGTAGTAGGTGCTCAGTGAGTGGTCTCTGGATGAGTGGACGGAGGGATGTGCTGGGATGACCTTGACACCCACCCTCCCCACAGCCATGAGGATGGCACCGTGCGCTTCTGGGATGCCTCAGGTGTGGCACTGCGGCCACTCTACAAGCTGAGCACAGCTGGCCTCTTCCAGACGGACTGTGAGCATGCTGACAGCCTGGCCCAAGCTGCCGAGGACGACTGGCCACCCTTCCGCAAGGTGGGCCCTCTTCCCTGGCCCTGAGGAACCAGTCCCAGCTCTGCTGGTGTCATCACTCCTTCCTATCCCCCCTAGGTGGGCTGCTTCGACCCCTACAGTGATGACCCCCGGCTTGGTGTGCAGAAGGTTGCACTCTGCAAGTATACAGCCCAGATGGTGGTGGCCGGCACTGCAGGCCAGGTGGAACTGGGTGTCCCTTGTGTTGGGGTTGTCAGGGAGGGCTTTCTGGAGGAGGCGGGCCTGAACTAGAGGGTCTAATGGAGAACTGGAGGGCCTGGCATAGGCAGAAGCCCAGAGGTGGGAATGGGGCCCCAGGGAGGGCTGCCTGGGGTAAGGACAGATGGGAAGCAGGCCTGTCACTAGGGCCTTGAGTCGGACTCTGGCTGGGGAAACCACAGAGGGTTGGGACTGGTGGAAACACAAGTCACTGCTGTGCCTCAGGCACTCAGGATATACAGAAGGAGCCTAATGTGTGCTTGTTGCTAAATGGGAGACAGAGGCTTGAAGGAAAGGTAGGCATTTGATTTAAAGAGGGAGGAATCCGTGGGACTTGGTCACTACTGGATCCTGGCACTTGAATACAGTCGGTACTCAATGTGTGCTTATTGCAAATGTGAAAAAAAGGCTCAATTAGGTACAGGTTCTTTGCTCTAGGAAGGCAGGAACCAGCAGGGCTTGGTTACCACCATGTTCCTTATTGCTCAGTGAGGGCCTTGGTATACAGTAGACATTCAGCAAGTGCTTGTTCAGCGGACAAACTGAAGACAATCTTGGGATTACCCTGTTGGTGGTTGGGACTGTATTTCAGAGGCTGCAGGCAGAGGTGGGGCCCGGGTGGCTCCTCCTTTGCACTGACCCTCCCCCTGCCTGACTGCGGACTCAGGTGCTGGTGCTGGAGCTCAGTGATGTGCCGGCAGAGCAGGCAGTCTGCGTGGCCAGCGTGGACCTTCTCCAGGACCGCGAGGGCTTCACATGGAAGGGCCATGAGCGACTGAGCCCACGCACAGGGCCACTGCCCTGGCCTGCAGGCTTCCAGCCCCGCGTGCTGGTGCAGTGCCTGCCACCAGCCGCTGTCACCGCTGTCACCCTCCACACGGAGTGGAGCCTTGTGGCCTTTGGCACCAGTCATGGCTTTGGCCTCTTCGACTACCATCGCAAGAGCCCTGTGCTTGCCAGGTGTGTGGGGTGGGTGGGAGCCCCCTGGGGAGGTGAGATCTGGCCCTCTGCATCCCCACTCTAATGTTTGGTGTGGCAGAGGCCTCAATAACTTCTGTCAGCCTGTGAGCAATAGCCTGGCAGCCCTCGAAGAACATTCTGAGCACCACCAGCTGCTGGGTCCCTGGGAGGTGCCGCAGGGGCTGTGGCTTCCTGACCCGGGCCCCCTAATGCCAGGCCTCTGGGGCCAGCAGAAGCGCGGGGGCTGCTCCAAGAGACTGCTCTGTGGCACATCCAGCCCCGCCTGCCCCCAGGTGCACTCTTCACCCCAACGACTCCCTGGCCATGGAGGGGCCCCTCTCCCGGGTGAAGTCGCTCAAGAAGTCGCTGCGCCAGTCTTTCCGGCGGATCCGCAAGAGCCGTGTCTCAGGCAAGAAGCGGACCGTTAATGCCAATAGCAAGGTGAGCTGGGGCGGACTTCCGGGGACCCTGGGGGTTGCTCACCTCACCGTGCTCCTCCCTCTGCAGCCTCTGGGCCCTTGGGAAGCACAGGGCAAGCTGGGCGAGTGGTGGACGCAAGCAGCGCTGGGGAGACAGTGTTCCCGTGCCCCTGCCCTTTTAGTTGCAGGAGGCCAACGCGCAGCTGGCAGAGCAGGCCTGCCCCCACGATGTGGAGATGACGCCTGTACAGCGCCGCATCGAGCCCCGCTCTGCTGACGACTCCCTTTCGGGCGTTGTGCGTTGCCTCTACTTTGCTGACACGTTCCTTCGAGATGGTGAGGCCTGGGCAAAGGATGTGGGGGGAGGTTGGCCTCGTTGACCAGGAGATGGGAGGTGGGAGACCGTGCCATCCAGGAGGTTTGAAAGTGTTATGAGCGCCTACTTTGTGCCGGTTACTCATGGTCCCCCTGGGGTGACGGACGGTGAGGGGCTGGTGAGTGAGCGGTGGGTTCTCAGTCCTGAGCCAGAAGGGAGCCTGAGAGGTCTAGGGACGACAGTAGGGGGTGCTGGTCAGTGCCAGGTCCTGTGGTGGGCCCATGTGCGGGAAGGGGCCGGGTCGTGTGGCTAGAGGGCCGAGGGAGGCGCCGCTCCGGGGGGCATGCATGCTGGCTGCCACCACGGGACCTGGCTTTGATTCTGGGTGGCTTGAAGGTGCTGGGAGGGTGCTTGTTGATTGAGTCCTTGATCTTTAACTTACGTGTTGGAGAATTTCAAGTACACAGAAATAGAGGGGATGCTGTGGAGCCCGTCCCCCATGCTCTGCTCTCTCGTCTTGCTGGGGTATTTTAACAAAAATCCAGGCATGAGTGCTTCGGTGCGTGCCTGACAGATGTCACCAGCACCACACTGTCCTGTACAACTGGTGCTAATGCCAGGGTCTCATCTCTGGTGTGGTCCAGGCCCCCCTTTGTAACGTCACTTATTTGTCCAGTAGTTTTCCTGCCACCTGCATGTGGCTGTTGCACCTGGGGTTTCCACTTGTGCTGCCGTCCCCAGCCGGCCTTACCATGCTTTGAGCTGCTCAGTCACTTTTCACATCAGGGCTGGGCTCCCCCGAAGGCCATTGCTGAGATCTGTTGATCCATCCAGGGTGCAAAGTGGTGACCATCCAAGTTCACCCTTGTGCCTGCCAGGTTTGGCTCTGCTGCTCCTCCAAAGGTTGTTGTGAGAGCTTCCGTTCTTACAGATAGAGCAGGCGATGGCTTCTGGGCAGCCTCCATTTGTTTCCGCAGGCCCGGCAGCTTCTGTGTTGAAAGGCTCCCTCTGGCTGCCATGTGGGGAACAGAGCAAAGAGGGTGGGGGAGAAGTAAGAGCCCCGGCTACCTGTGGTGTGACTGCTTGATTCCCAGAGTGTCGAGGGGACTAGCCATGGGGTGTAGGGGGGTGGAGAGAGGAGTCAGGCCTGCAGGGTGGGGCCTAAGTCACACAAGGATGGAACTGCGTTTATTGAGATGGGGTTGACGTGCCGCAGGGTGAGGTTGGAGGGACCAGGGTCCAGTTCGGGCGCCTGTTGACACCCCATGCAGATGCCCCAAATGCTGTCCATGCTTCTGCAGAAGGGCTGCACCCTGGGATTCACCTGGAGTCAGCAGCACAGAGTTGGCGCCTCAGGCCACGAGGCTGGTTGGGATCACTGGAGCAGTGTGGGATTGGAGGGCATCAGCCCTGAGTCCTGGGGTGTAAACAGTAAGGAAGTGGAGGTGCAGGACAGGCAGGGAAGGACCTGCAGCATGTGGGGGCCTCAGGGGGAAAGCCTGGCCTGCAGGGAGCGCCCTCCTCATGGACCCATCCCCCTCAGCGGCCCACCACGGCCCGACCATGTGGGCAGGCACCAACTCGGGCTCCGTGTTTGCCTACGCACTGGAGGTACCAGCAGCAGCAGTGGGTGGCGACAAGCGGCCTGAGCGGGCGGTGGAGGCCGTGCTGGGCAAGGAGGTGCAGCTGATGCACCGGGCACCTGTGGTGGCCATCGCTGTACTGGACGGACGCGGCCGCCCGCTTCCCGAGCCCTATGAGGCCTCGCGGGACCTGGCACAGGCACCTGACATGCAGGGTGGCCACGCCGTGCTCATTGCATCTGAGGAGCAGTTCAAGGTGTTCACACTGCCCAAGGTGAGTGCCAAGACCAAGTTCAAGCTGACAGCCCATGAGGGCTGTCGCGTACGCAAGGTGGCACTGGCCACGTTTGCCAGTGTGGCCTGTGAGGACTATGCTGAGACCTGCCTGGCCTGCCTCACCAACCTGGGCGACGTCCACGTCTTCTCAGTGCCTGGCCTGCGGCCCCAGGTGCACTACTCCTGTATCCGAAAGGAGGACATCAGCGGCATCGCCTCATGTGTCTTCACACGTCACGGCCAGGGCTTCTACCTGATCTCCCCGTCAGAATTTGAGCGCTTCTCCCTAAGTGCACGGAACATCACAGAGCCTGTCTGCTCTCTCGACATCAACTGGCCCCGAAATTCCACCCGAGCCAGGCTCCAAGAGTCACCCAAGCTGAGCCAGGCTAATGGGACCCCAAGCATCATCCTGGCCCCACAGAGCTGTGGCGGAAGCCCTGATCCAGCCCACAGCAAAGGAACTGATACCTCAGAGCCACCGGAGGCCACACTCTCGCCCATGTCCATCGACTCTGCCACCAGTGCTGACACCACCCTTGACACGACAGGGGACGTCACGGTAGAGGATGTGAAGGATTTCCTGGGCTCTTCGGAAGAATCTGAGAAGAATCTGAGGAACCTGGCGGAGGGTGAAACCCGTGCCTGTGCCATCCTGATTAAATGAGGTGCTGCAGGGGCGGACCCTGGGTCTGCCTGGTCCTTGTTGCTCAGCAGCGACCACTCCTCAGCCCCAGTCTGGGCCCTACAGGACCCCCACCCCCACCCCGGGTCTTGCACCTGGGACCTTGGCAGGCCCCTGTGATGGATGCACTCCCTGAAGCCAGACTGCCTTCCACTGGGTGTTCTGACGGGGCCTCCAGGGGCTCACACAGCGTGATTTTCATAGTTGGGTATTAGAAAAGCAGAGCCAGCCCATCAACCCTTGACGTTGTGGGTGGTATTTGGACTAAGACCAAATTAAACCACTTAGAGGTGGCAACAGCTTGGGGGAGCGGGCTGGTTTGGCTAGCCCATTTCACAGATGAGGTCACAAGGTCAAGTCCTACCAGTTGGGCCAGCACATTGAGCCCAGTCAGAGGTT